ACTTTATTGCATTCAATCCTATAAATACTTTTATCTATCACGTCACAGACATTTTCTATGTTTGTTTTTACTTTATAAATTATTTCAAATAATTTATTTTCATTATGTCACGTTTCTTTAATTTATATTTTAAGATTTGTTACATGTGATCATAACGTTCTTGTCCGATGTGTATTTCGTCCTACACAAAGTTCTGACGAAAAAAGCAACAAAAGTTGAAAATACTCGTAAAAAACAGACAAAAAGATAAACGTTCATGTCCAATACGCGTAGTTTGAGAGGGACTGAAAAGCACTCGCCACAATCCATTTTGCAAATATGATCAAACATCAACTTTTCTATTCATTTTATTTTATTTTGTAAGGGCTTCTCGATCATTCCAGTAATTTATTTTTTCAGCCTCTTGTATTTATAAAATTAAATTTTCTAATTATATAGGCTTTATGAATTTAAGCGCAGTACTGCAGGGTAGCTGAATGATATAAAGCAAAAATAACTTTTACAAACACATGAGTATCTTGGTGTAGTGAGGTTTGGACCGTTTGAATTTTGTATGGAAGCATTTTTGAAATCCAGTTTCAGTATCTTCTGAAGCGATATTCTGACGATGCCTTGTTGAGCAGAGCGACGACGGGTAGAAACTGATGGATCCTCAAGGAAACTCTGCAGTGCAGCGTTCACCCTTGTATCAGTGCACACAGTACGCTTACGACCTCTTCCTGGAAGATCGCCGACTGATCCAGTTCTTTCAAACCGAGCGATTAGGTTCTGAATCATGTTATCGCTAGCAGATAATCGGATATTAAAATATCGCCGGTATTTTCTCAGAGTTTGAATAATTGATCTTTCATTGGAATAGAAAATTTCAGTGAGTTTTAATCGTTTCTGAACATCATGCGCAGCCATTTTCATCAAGGGATTCTCTATGACCTGCAAAAAAAATAAAAAGATTGAAAACGAACAAGATATGACTTTTTGAAATCCTTCAGCTTTCAGTAGCCACGCTATAAAATGGCGGCATTATTTTTTTTTTTTTTTTTGTAGTTGAAATGGCTATATGCAACCGAAAGTTCTATGCTAACAGTTTCTTCCATAGCACTTCTTACTTGTGAAACTCTCTTCCGGTTTCTTACCTTCTAGTCAACTTCGATTTTCACAAATTTAAATGCAGTGTCACTCGTTTTCGTCTCTTAATTCTTGTTATTTACTTGTTCCTTCTCCCCAATAGTAATTTATCACATTATCTAGCACTCAGTAACCCCTTGTGTCCAAGTAGCTTTATTACCTTCATTGGGGGTGAAATGATTAAAAAAAAACAGTCAACAAATTATATGGTATCTGGTTTTCACTGATAAGACTTACACCTCTTTCTGATCCTCTGTTATATACAGCTAACTATAACTATATCGATCTCTGAATATCTGGATCTAATCGCAGAAAAACATGTGCCAGCTTTCTCCAGAGTTGATCAAAGACACAAGACATTTCTTAGTTCCCTTTGCTTATATATTCTCAAGTCTTATCTTTAAGGAAATAACTGGTTCCAAAATTTGATTTTTTTACATTCGCATGATATAGTGATTTTCTAAGCGTAGCTTAGATGTGGCACAAGGCCAACAGCATGGGACCCCAGTGCGCATTTGCAAGATATGTGAAAGATACCAATTATTTCAATTATTTTGACATTGAAATGTCAAAACTTCTGAATCAATTCAGATATATATATATATATATATATATATATATATATATATATATATATATATATATATATATATATATATATATATATATGCGCATTCTTGGAGTTCTACTGATATTTTCTTTCTTAAAAATAGCAAATATATTTTTTCCTTTGAAGGGTGTAACGTCATCCTGCATTGTGGCATCTGACTGATGCCCTTTTCAAGATGCAGAAAACAACGAATTAACGCTTTCTTGAAACAACATGAATGGAAAAAGCAAACTTCAGTTGCAACGATTATGGGAACATTGTTCGAAAACACTTGTTCGTAAAGAATTATTCGAAAAGACATTTATTCGAATTGTAAATTGTTTGAATGTGAATTATACTAAATGATAATTATTTGAAATACAAAATTATTTATTAGAATAAAAATGTAAAAATTAAAAAAGGAAATATACAAATGATAATAATTCGAAATACAAATATCGTTAATAAAACAATTTAGTAATAAAAAAATCAGTATAATCTTAAGTCATATGATACTTCACATAAATAGTTAATTACTGAAGAGTATTCGTTAAAAGATGCCAATAATTTTAAGTCTTCCCTTTATGTTACTGTATTTCTTGGTGATCTTCAAATTTTGGCAACCTGCTCATACTTTTGCAATATGAATTTCTTGCAAGTTCTGTTCTCTTTTAGAACGTCCAACATATTCCATATTGTGAGATGATTGGATAACACTTGCTGCAAAATGCCCTATGCCATCCTTCAAGGGCGTTAATACTTCTAGGTAAATAAGCATTGACTCTCTCAAAGCAACATATTTCAAATACATGTATTTCGAATAATTATCATTTAATATAGTTGTCCTTTCGATTAATTTTTATTCAAGCAATTTACAATTCGATTGCAGGTTTTTTTCGGAGAAATTTTTTAGAGAAATTTTTTGGGAAATAATTGTTCAAAAACAATGATTTTTCCCAAAAAATTTCACTATACGATTGGAGAGCTTTTGTAACACATTAGTGCTATAATCGTCCAATTAAAGAAATGCGTTGTTCATCTTCTTCATATAATCCTATGTACATGATCAAATTCTGAAATATCGAAAATGAGTGATGAGGGTTAACGGTCAGCATGAAAATCAATTCATATTTTCATTTATTTAATTTTGTTTTATTTCCTTTATATATATATATATATATATATATATATATATATATACAAAAGCTATATGAGAATTCAATTACATTTCAGTAATACATATGATTAAAAAAAGTAATAAAATTAACGCTTTAACATCCTTATACAATAACACTGTTTTATGTTCTTGTCTGACGTTAAAAGATTGAATGTTTCAGTTTTTGGCCATGTATCTTGCTGATGGTACCTGGACAGGACATGCCAAACACGAGCCAGAACCGTACCAAAGTTTCCAGGAATCAATGCTTTAGGTTTGTCCTTATAGGAATATAGCCATGCAAGTTCGTCTAATTTTTTAGTGGTTTTGAATTTGTTGTATACCCCAAAACGGGAAAGAAGTATATCCATATATCTATGGGATTGAGCGTTAGGGATATAATCCGAAGAGCCAATGAAGCGTTAACTAAAACAATTTGTGAACCTCTGATCAAAATGGTTTCAAAAGTTCCGCCTTGTGAGTCCAGACAATAAACAGATTTTCTACTTATTTAAGCCAGCTGGAAACTGAGAAATCGTAGGAGATAAATATTTCAAATATATATGAAATCACAGGATAGAATTGACACCCTATAACACGATGTACTGAATCTAGACTCATCTGAAAATATAGGAGGGTCTGTAGAACCTGATACACACGTGTCAAATAGAGGGTAAGAGAGACAAGGGAAAACAATGTGTTGCATACCTGGCGGTCTTAAGCAAGTGGATGACAGAACGTGGTCCGAGGGAGGAAACAGAGGGAAGGAACTTGTTGAGAGCTGCAAGTGATAGAGGGGGTGGAGAGTCATGATCGCCTACATCCTGAAAGGACATGGCACATAAAAAGAAAGTTATCGCATTGTATTTTATTCACCTTGTCATTGGTAAATAGAATAGTAATAATATGAAGAAGATATCAGGAACGACAACATGTGTCTTCCCCTGCTATATGACTTGTCCCTTCAAGATGTTGGTAAACATGACTCTCCACAATTTTGTATCTCTAAATAAAGTTTGTATTTTGGTGATCTCTCCTAAACCCTTTTCAGCGAATTACTCAAGTTCGTTAGGTGGATTACGTGTTGTTTTCCTCTGTCCCTTTTGTCTTTAATCTGCCCTATGAGTATCTAATTTTCCAAGCTTTATTTCCTCAATATATATTCTGAAAATTGCAACTGTCTTTTTCTAATGTTAAGTATAAATTTCCTTTTCGCTTGCATTTTCTCTCAACCTTCATCGTTTCTCCTTGTTTACTATTTCCAGTGAGTGTTAACTTACATGGCAGCACGAACAAAATAGTTTTTAGGAGCTTCTATTAAGTGTTTATATTTACATTTTCTATGTGCCGAGTCTCGTTTGGACATTGCTGGTCATGGCTCCCCACAATTTCCTGTCGTTTGTAGCGCTTAATAAGTTTTATCTTTTTGTTATTTTCTCCCAAACTCTGCTCCTCCATCCATTCACTCAAGCTGACCAGGTAGGTTATGCGTTGTTTTCCTTTGTCCGTCTTGCTTTCAATCTGTACTGTGAGTATGAAATTTTCCAAATCTTCTTTCCTTATGTGACCTGGAAATGTCCTCTGTGCCTTTTTGATGTTAAGTATAAATAACCTTTTTGCTTTCATTTTCTATAAAAATTCGTCGTTGCTCATATATTTGGTCCATGGTATTCTCAGCATACTTCGGTAGAACTACATTTCTGTCGCGGGAAATCTCTTCATTTGTTAGATGCCGAGTATTCACTGCCATATAAGAGGACTGATATTACATATCAGTTCCGTATTTTATTCTTTGCTTATAACGAAATTTTCTTGTTTCTTAATACTGTGCTTGGCTTTTTTTGTTTCTTAATACTTTGCTTAGCTTTTCTTGTTTCTTAATACTTTGCTTAGCTTTTTCGCTCATGAATTCTTTTTTCTATTTATTTTTATCTTCTGCACATTTTATTTATGCATTCTTTTTCACTCCAGTAACTTAATCCTTCTTCATATTATTTTCTTATTTCTTATTTCCTTCATCGTATTTTTCCTCATCAAATTTTTCATTGCATTTTCTTCGTTTCCTCATGATTTCATCTAATTTTCTTCACCTTCTCATTCCTTATATTTTTTCTTCATATTAGGAGCTTACAACAATATCACGTTGAAACACCGGTTCTCGTACGATCACCGAAGTTAAGCAACGTCGAATCCGGTCAGTACCTAGAAGGGTGATAGCTTGGGCATACCAGGTGATGTAAGCTCGGATGTGTGTAAGGTATAAATGCTCAGGATTGGAAAACCGGAGAGTCGAGTTTCAATTCTTCTTGATTTCCTTATATTCACTTACGCGCAATTGTTCTTGAGTAATTTATAAATCCACCACTTCTCCCCCAGCTTTGGGTTAATTAATCATTAATTTATCAGTAAATACTTATCCCCCAAAATATCTTGGAATATAAAAATATTTTCTGACTTTAAATAACCTGCTAAAGTTCATAAGCCGTAAAAAACAATCTAATTGTCAAATTACTCTTCTATTTTTTATTGTCGTTATTATATTATTGACTTAATTTTTGCATCCAGTTTTCTTCCCTTTGTCTTTCATCAGTCAGTTATGTGCCATGCGGGATACACTCTTAGGTGATTATGTATCTTGTGATACATGACTGACGAGTCAGATGCTTTGCAACCGTTGTAGGTTGCTATTTTTTTCTGCGGTAGACCAGTTGCCATCCAAGGCTATAGAACCTGGTCTGTCATACTATTTACGCATAGCTGGGATGGAGAAGAGGTTTCATATCTTTTACAAGAGTATTAGCACGTAAGTGAATGTATTGGATTCGACTGGAATTCGAACTCGGCTCTCCGATTCCTCAATCCGAGCCGCTATTTACTACTTCATATTCGTGGCTTACGACCGCATCACGTTGAAACACCGGTTCTCGTATCATCACTGAATTTAAGCAAAGTCGACCCTCTTCAGTAAGATGGACGACCCCTTTGGAATACCAGGGATCTGTAAGCGTGGTTGTGCGGTTATTTAAAACTTCGGAATTTGAAATTAGAGAGCCGAGTTCAAATTCAAGTCGGTTTTGTCATATTCACTTACGCGTAAATACACTTGGGAAAGGCATGAATCCATGTCTTCTACGCCAGAGTTAATTAGTAATACTCTATTACTGAATTATTATCTCCCCGCAAATATTAATGTTTAAAAATATTTACTGGTTTTAAATAACCTACAACCGATTGATAAGCAGTAAAAACAAATCCATCTGCAAATTAATCTTCTATTTCATATTATCTTTATATTATTTTTAACCTAATATTTTTCATTGCATTTTCTTCATTTTTGTCTTTCATCGCATTTCCTTCATTTTTGTCTTTCATCGCATTTCCTTCATTTTTGTCTTTCATTGCATTTTCTTCTTCATATTAATCTATATTCATTTTATTTGTCACATATTCTTTCTTCCATCATATCTTATTTTTCATATAACTCTTCTATTTCTTATTTCGTCCTGGGTATGACGACAAGCTACATCCAGAAGCAAGGTCTTTGATCAGGATGTTTTGAGGGACGTGTAACTACCTCTTAATTCAAGTTGTTCCCAGGTCCATCTTGACCCGGAGTGGCACTATCTGTTAGAATCCCAGCTATGACCAAACTAGGATCAAAACACTATGAATGTGTAAAAGTGCATTTTTATAGAGAAAGTGCTAGCAATGCATTTTCATAGTAAAAACATTTACTAGCAATACGTTTTTGTAAGGAAAAAATATTACCAGCAATATATTTTTGTTAAAGAAATTACTAATGCTCCCAAGAAAATTAGTTTCGCATTAAATGGCCCATAAGGAGTTAATGCCGTTAAAAAATAAAACAAATATTTCCTATTTGTTCATCCCATTTTCTGCTTGGTATTTTTCATCACATTTTATACATAGTCTCCTTCAAAATATTCTATTATTATTATTAGTCTTCTATTTCCCATTGTCTCCATCTTATCTTTTTCATTCATTTTTCATATTCTTTGCTTCACATTTTATGGCATCATTTTTAATATTGTTTCTTATTAGGTTGACCAGAATGCCCTTACTCACTTAGGAAGCGGAAAGGAAACAAAAAATCTTGATCTCTATCTGTAATTTTCAGAGTATTGCATTTCGACATTCTTCCCCACGGTCAAGCCATCAACGTTAAACTGTATTGCCAGCAGCTAGACCGCGTGTACGACAAACTAAAGGAGTCTCAGCCTTGTTTCAGCAAGACAATGCGAGGCCACCCACACACTGCCAGGTTGAGATTTTTCCATACCTACCATTCTGTCCCGATGCTACTCCGAGTGACTATGGCTGGTCAAGGAGGAAGTGCGCCATTGAGCGGAATAGGTCAATGGCACACTTCCTCCTTGACCAGCGATTCAACACATTTGAGGAACTGAAGGAAGCTTTTACAATTTTTTGATTCAAAGTCAGTGGACTGGTATCTGGGACAAATTCGGATGCTGTCTGACTGCTGTCAGATTATCGTCAACAATGGACTTTATCTTGAAGTATAAATATTGGTGTTGCTTCATAAAAATTTGTTGCTTTCTTTACGCTTCCTAAGGGAGTCAGGACTTTCTGGCCAAACTAATACATTGTCTTACTTTGTCCTAGTCTTCTTTGGATTAACGCCACCACCATCCTTATATTCTGCCTCTTCTTCGCCCTTAAATGGTTCAATCAATCACATTAATTATTTATATTATTTACACGAAGACTACTGTCCTCATCTTTCATGATTTTATTACGTTTCAGTCGTTGTTCTCTCCAGTCTTCATCAGGTTTCAGCCGGTCTGAGTTACCTTCAGAAAAATAGCCTAATGAATTTAAGCGTTGGCTCGAGATTTTTGGTAATATAGCAATTATGTGTTCAATCCATGGACCAGACAGTGTGTAATTGAACTCGGTGTAATTGGCACGAGCCACAATTGAGCAGTATTAACTAGGCATGATATCCCTAGACATGCTGTAAGGTTGACCGGATTGATAAGCAAGTGATGAAGACCGGAGAACAGAACGGCCAAAGCTGTGTCATAACAACAACACAAATATGAACGATAGTGTTTCACCTAAATAATATAAATAACGATAACTTCTCGGAAATTTAGACAGAATCTCAAGCAGCAAGCCAGATTTTCTCATTCGTTTTCTTTTCTTTTCTTTTTCGTGTTCCACTTTCCTTTATTTTCAGCTTCTTTTATTTTAGACGTCATCTTCAAGCTATCCTATTATTTCTGGCTTCGTTTCCCGTTCATATTATTCATTACAGTCACCTTCGCACTTTGGAGTCACCGGTTTGTTTGACAACAATGAACTTTCATAGAGATCGGCAGAACTCAATTATTGCTACAACTACAATGATTATTGGTATGACTTCACTTTACAATGATAGCATTGTCTTTGATGCCGTCTTCATCTTTCATTTTTTCTTTATCTTTTTTTTTTTTTTTTTTTTTTTAGATCTCTGTTTAATCATAGTCATTTTCGGTCCTAATTTTCCCATTATTAATATAGAAAACTTCATATTAATTTAATTTTGAGGCGATTGATAATTAGTGTATTTTACTTGAGGTCGATGCTACTAACTTCATTCGGTTTTGTTAAAGGCTTAATTTTGTTATTAACATTATTAGTTTCATGTTTGTTTTTTCGTTGTTTATGTAATGGAGGTTAGAGTTAATAATGAAAAAAACCCAACACTTCGCCTGGGTACTAAAGAATATGAAAAAGCAGTGGGTTATTACCATGATCGTAAATGATGAACTTTGGACTTATCTCGCAGCATGATTAGAGAACTAGATATTTCGGGGGAGACAAGTAAATACAGACCTCGATAATGTTGGTGTTCAGCAGAAATGACATCAGATTTAAAGAGATTGCTATCACACTTTCTCGAGCCAGTTACAGCAAACACCTGTTGCAAATGCAATAGAAAATAATAATGGCAGTACATAATCGAAATTTGAGCAAATTTCTTGAATTTATTCATCTGAACGGTATTTGCCAAAACCAGAAACTGTCCCAGAAAATATTACAAAAATTATTTGCATGCATGAAGAAAATAATAATAATAGCAGTACCTCATCGAAATTTGAGCAAATCTCTTGTAATTGTTCATAGGAACGGTATTTGCCAAAATCAGAATCTATCCCAGAGAATATAAAATAAATTATTTGCGACTTAAGCGAACACTGAAATTTTATCAGACAAATAAAGAAAGAAAACATGCTGAAGCCAAGTAAAGCAAAGTACAAAGAACGAGTAAACTAATTAATGGGTTTCTAATTGTTACACCTACAATTTACATAAATGGTAATATTAGTTATTTTCTTATAAGGGAACATTCAGCATTCATTGCCCGAATAACTGACTCTACCTTCGGTTGAAATTTACAAAATCTTTCCATTGAAACAATAGGTTTATCAAATTCAGTAACCGTTGTTCCTCTTAACTGACGACTTTCTTTCTAAAACTTTATTTAAAGTAGTATGGAGCGTCAATATGTTTGTCATTATTTTCGCACCAAGTTACATGTGATATCCTTTTTTTTTCTTTAATTCTGTTGCTAAATATACTAAAGGGTTGTTGCTTCAGTTATTTGCCACGGTTACTTTTCTCTGTCGTTCTGACACACTACATCCGTCACCATTTCATTCTATTTCTATTCGGATCACCGTTTTGTTCTATCCTTCTATACGGATCACCATTTCTGTTTCTATCCTACTTCTCACCATTTCTATTCTATCCTCTGTTACTATACGGATCACCATTTCTATTCTATTCTATCCTCTGTTTACTATAGGATCACCATTTCTATTCTATCCTCTGTTACTATACGGATCACCATTTCTACTATCCTCTGAATACGGATCACCATTTCTGTTCTATCCTCTGTTACTATACGGATCACCATTTCTATTCTATCCTCTGTTAATAAACCATTTCTGTTCTATCCTCTGTTACTATACGGATCATCATTTCTATTCTATCCTCTGTTACTACACACCATTTCTTCAGTTTATACATCACCATTTCTATTCTATCCTCTGTTACTATACGGATCATTGTTCTTCCTCTCTACACAGGCGATCCCATTTTAAATCCTCTGTTACTATACGGATCACCATTTCTATTCTATCCTCTGGATCACCATTTCTGTTCTATCCTCTGTTACTATACGGATCACCATTTCTGTTCTATCCTCTGTTACT